AAGGTATCAGTTACCGGGAGAGGGAGTGTTTTAGTGCAACTAAACGCCTTGCCATTCAGGAGAAGAACCAGCAGTGCTACATTTTTGTTTTCGAACACCCGTACCTGCGAACTAGTGCTTTAAAAACTAAGCACTCCGAATGAAAACTGAAAAACAGACTAACATCCCAACACCTGCAAAGTGAAGTATCTAAACTCATGTAAAATTAAAATTCACATCCTTGGTCTTCACCGGTAAATAACTCTAAAAAAGTAAATTAAAATATTTGTCATAATTTATTGAATTAAATTAAAATTATTGACGGATAATATAACCATAATTTACAATAACAAAATATGACATTAAGTTTGTATTTCCCAATGTAGCTCACTCCTTAAAAAAGTTGGCAGCCATGAATCACTTTTCACTTGTACTTCGTTCGATATTCACTGCACGTAAAATGTCTTAAACTGTTTAGACCCACATTTATATTATTTCGAATGAAGGAGCATTTATTTAAAAGAATGTGAACTATATATTAAATGTAGGCACATTGAATACATACGATGAAAACTAATCTGCCCAACCACGTTTACAGTAGATTCCCAATACTGAATTTCGTCGAAATCCAATCAGCAGTTTCGGGAAAAGAAACAAGAATTACGGACAGAGACGAACTATCCACTCAGTGTATATCGAAAGCATAAAATCAGAATACCTACGCACCAAAAAAGAATGGCCTGGTTAAACTATTCTAACGGCCACTACATTGATTCAGAGATCTATGAAATTCATAATTACAAAATTGTTTAAGTAATTTATCACTAAAATGCCCAGGTATTTAATGTTAGATACATAATTAGCGCACATGTTACAAAAGCCGACATTAGGTATTTCACAGAATGAAATGTGTTCTATCCTATTTTATTTGTAATGTTGAATGAAAGGACACTCTCAGATGTGACACAAGGAATTTACATGCACCTCATGAGAAAAGTTAATACACACTATTAAAGCCTCGAAAGATCTACAATAACAGAAGAAACATGCCACAAAATAATATACTCTCAGAATAATTACGTGTTCTTCGCTAAACGTAGCCGTATTTGAAACAACCTTTACTTACTGACACTGTAATTACTACGTCATGCACAGATGGCGTCACAGTGTCGCATGTTACGAAATATCATAGAAACTAGCAGCACTTTTGATCTAAACGTTCAGTGTCGTGGGATCATTCGCAGAACAAATTCTGGATGTCAATAACAGAGAAGACGACCGGAACACGCTTATAACGTGAAGATAAGTCACAACACGAAATTTTTATAGAAACACTTAATACAACGCACAAATTTTAAATCTTATAACCCATCATACAAACCTATTATTTTTACATACAACGATATTTAATATAATGACAATTACGAAAGGATGTTTTGAATCGAAGCATCGGAAAATAAATCTGTTGAATTTTAACGCAAAATTGTTTAATATTTGCGGTATAATTCCCAACGAGAATGTAAAAGCTAGTTTTTGGAAATCCATACTCTTTCGTGGGTTTCAGATTGTGTCCTTTTTGGTGTATATTTTTATTGTCATCTTGCAGATACTTGGTCTGTACTTTTACTGGGGAAACATAACTCTCTTTACAGACTGTCTAGGTCTCATAGCCGCATTTGCGATCTCATACACTTCTACCACTTATTTCATATTTTATTGGAAGGATGTTTCTAAATTAATTGAAGCTTTTGAAACAAATTCAATCTACAGCACAGAATTCATCAGATTAAATCAAAGGCATATGAAAATAGTTAGTGACACCAAAAATTTCACGCTTCTACTTAGCAAGTTAGCATGCCTGTCCACACTACTGGCAGGAATTATATACATATCACCGACGTTTATCCAGCATTTGATGGCATCCGATAAGCAAATTTTGGAAGAAATCGAAGGTGCAGAAGGTTTCACAAAATACTTTGTGTTTGTTATGTGGATTCCTCCTATACTAAAGCAGCCGTATATGATTCGCCTAACGTACGTACTTCAGGTCATGTGTGCGTCTACAGCGTTCATCTTTGGTGCAGCATTTGTACCGCTGGAATATGTGCTAATTTTATACACTGGAAAACAATTTAAGCTTGTCTCTTCGGCAATACAAGACATGGATAAATTATGCAGTTTACAAAATCTCGATAAAATAGTTGACAATGTATCCGAGCAAATGGACAGCCCTAATTATAGTCGTAGATTTCTGCCAGAACATATTCGTGTTAGAAAAAGGGAATTGGGCACAGAAGAAGGAAACCCAAATGCAACAGAAGGGCAGTGGAACAAGCAGTTCAATTCGAAAACATTTGACAACACTCTACAAGCACACGATATTAATCGGTCGTCAGGCAAATCCGATGATATCTCATCGGCAGAACCGACGCCCTGGGAAGAAAATGACTTTGCGAGCTCATATTTACTGCAGTGCATAAAGCTACATCAGGCGTGCATTCAGTAAGTCGCCCCTTACATCTTACAGCACAAGAATTTCATTTGAGTCGAGGTAAGGAGTGTCGTCTGGTAGAAGTTTACCGACGATTCAGAAATCGTACGATTTGAGGAAGGATTTTTGAATCCAAGATTGCTGTCTTCTGGATTGTTGCGCCGGTGAATCGCCCTGATGACGGAGACAGTATGACCTCTGAAACGTTGGTGGAAATCTACCAGACTACACGGCGCAACCCAGAAGACAGCAATCTTCGATTCAGAAATCCTTGCTGCCTCCATCATCAGGGCGAAGAATAAGTCGCTCCTTTCCCATCTTCCTTACACTTCTGAGCTACATCCTCCTTCCTCCTCCTTTTCTGACCAGACTTAGATCCGCCCTTCTCACATTGGCTCTCACCCGATCCCCACACTTTTCTCCACTAGAACGACAAAGGTTCTTCTACCTTGTCCAACTTCGACACATATTTCCAAACCAATTCCTCGAGCGGCTTACTCATCTACCAGAAATTGGAGGCAGCAAGCACCTCTGAAACGTCGGTAAATTTTTACCAAACTATACGACGCAACAACCCAGAGACTAAAGTCTCACTTAACTCATTTATATTTTCTGTACCGTAAACGCTAAACTAAAAACGTTTCATCTTCTTCCAATCAACGTTTGAACAAGAAACACGTTATTTCTTTTGTTATCTTCAATCTTGACAACCCCCAACTGTCTCCTAATGTCTCCCTCCAATGGTCATTTTATCTTTCCTCGTTATTTGCCATAAGGATCTCATAAAACTCGTTCGTACAGCTCCTAAGAGTTTCATCTCTTTTACTGGTAATACCGATGACTTACAACACAATTTTTCTCTTTCAGACTCGCTGCTGAAGTTGACGACATACTGAGTCCTGTTAACGGCCTCGGATCACTGTGCGCAACTTCGTTCATAATCACACATGTTTTTCAGTTATCATTGGTAAGTATCAAAATATTTCTGACGTAATGTCAGCGAAGTAATTCAAAGCAGTTTCATTTCAATAAAACCAAACTGATTTACACTCAACTCGAAATGCAACTAATAAAGTAACAAATCAAGAAATCAAGTAAAATTGCAAAACAAGTTAATATCTTCAACTCAATCCCTTCTTTCCAATTATGTCTGAATCTGGTAGAAATTTTTATTAATTATAATAGGGGAGCGATGGTAACTTACCATGTACGTTTACCCTAAACCAAAATTTTCAATAAACCTGGAGCAGGTATGAGATTATTTAGACATTGATATATTTAAAATATTTATTATATTTCTTTTGTAACAGAAACAAACATATTCATCTTAATTTCAGGTAATCACGGCAAAGTACGTCAGTTTTACCCTCACATTTGTGATAATAATATTTGTATACAACTGGTGCGGACAAACTGTCATCTTAGAGGTGAGTTACAACCTTTCTTTTAGTGTAGTCAACTATTTTGCGTCAACTGAAGGCTTCTTACAATATTTATATACACACAGAAACAACAATTAATAATATTTTAACTTACGTTTTTTGTCATGAAAGATTTTCGCGGCTGTAGTTCAATGTACTACGTCGACTTTCCGAAATGAGCAGCATCGGGCTTTAAAAGTTTTCAGCGTTTCGACAAACGTTGAGAAGATGACTGTCTTCTAGCTTGTAGCAACGTGTAGTTCGGTAGACGTTTACCGACGTCTGAGAAGTATTTGGTTCCCAGATCAACAGGGCAGTAAGTAAGAAGTAAGCATCTTTAAAACGTCGATGAACTTATACGAGGTTACACGGTGCAGTATTCCGGATGGCTGTCATCCTCAGAACCTAAAAACTTTAGTACCTGCTTCCAATTTAACATAACCTTTTGTGTATATCAACGCAGAGTACGGCTGTGGGGGAAACTGCTTACGACTGTCTCTGGTACGAACGCTCCAAAAGATTCAAGCGATTATTCCTGATGGTTCTGCTTCGAGCCCAGACTCCGGTTATTATGAATGCCGGTATATTATGGACAGTTGGATACGAACATTTTGGCCAGGTACAGAATAATATCATTGAATACTTTACAAAATGAGACACAAACCACACAAACACTTATATACCTTGCGTTTTAATACAGTACTGTAATAAATTCTGCAATTCGATATCTCTCAAAATGTCTCTTTAAAAGAACATACGTGAGGTGGAGTAACAGGATTCATATATGCATTATTTTAGGCGTTTTATGGTTGAAGAAGAGAGATATATTAATTTATTTTCATAAATTATTACCATTTTACGTTATTAGTTAGTAACAATGAGCAGTGCTAACCTTGGGTTACCAATAATTTGTTCTTAATGCTGTTCCACTCCTTGTTAAAAGTCCCCCCTTTGCTGATTCCAGTAATTCTTTCATTTGAAACAAGTATTTGGACGGATCAGGACAAAACAATTTGCTACATTCGGGTAACATTTTGCAACTTGAATTCTGAACTAAAAGCTGGATAATAGAAATAAATTCCTATTAAAGGCTGTCGAGCGTAAAGAGTTATTATTTTATTTCATATTTCATAAATATCATTAAGCTACTCAGAATATTACTAAAAATGCGCAGTATTTAATAAGCTATCACAGTTGTGTATCTGTAAAAATAAAGTGATAATCGAGGAATAAAATATTACTGATTTGGTAGCGCACAGCAATTTTAATATAGCTAACAGATGCCGTACTGTTGACAAGTTGAAAATATGTTCCATAATCTACATTGTATTGTACTTTTACGGTAATAATTGTTTCTCGTTTTTTGCAGTTACTGAATGCTATGTACACATTCTCCACCGTGTTGAGGCAAGTGCACAACACTTAAAAGAATATGCAGTCGACTTCTAGCTATTACCAACATTAATGGCGAGATAAATCTTCCTGAAACCCCAATACACTTTCACCTTGAAGACGTAAACGGCAATGTTTTCCGAAAAACTGCAGAAACAACAGCATTCGATTAATTCCCAAAAAACCGAAGTTCATTATTAATGCAGATTTCTGTCTTCTGGGTTGTTGCGCTGTGTAGTCTGGTCGATGTTTACCAACGTTTCAGAGGTCATACTGCCTCCGTCATCAGGGCGATAGCGCAACAACCCGGAAGACAGAAATCTTCATACTCACCGCTGTGAAAACCTCAAATCTTACTTATTATTATTATTATTATCATCACCATTATCATCGTTGTTGTTGTTCTTACTAGCAGAGTTCCCGCAATGTTACTGTGGGGAAATTTGGCGAATTATTACGTACATTTCTATTCAAACTTTTTTCCCCTCAAGTTTGTCATCGGCCACATCATTCAATACATATAAACGAATATCGTAAGATAATCGTTATCCCTAAACATAAGAACGTCTGTCTTTACAGCATCATCTAAAGTAATTAGTTTCAAAGTTATTCGTCAGCGACTGTAATCTTGAGACTTGCAAGGAATGCAGGAAGTCCGTAGCGTTAAAGGCAGACGCTATCTTTCCCCCTTCCACACCCCGCAAGTCTCAAGATTACAGTCGCGGACTGTATGTGAGTATAAATAACAAATGGACAAGATTATCCTCGTTGCACATTAAATTTGTCGAATTCTTAAAGAGCACACTGCGAAAAATAATTAAATATTCACATCATAATTTAATTTGTAAAATGTGTTTATATTTTAAATCTTTTAAGGATGATTTTTAGCATAAGAGACATTGAAATTATTCATTCTTCAGAATGCAAATTTTATACGTTATTATAATGAAAGCCAAAAAAAATTCTTTGTAGCAATATTAATTGCCATTCTATTTAAGAATAACATTAAACAGCGAACCGGTAAATACCATGGTAGTGGTATATGACAAATATAGCCCTATAATCATTGTCCTATATAAGGTCGAAAAGCTTAGCAGCGTCACCATGGAAACAAAACACGGGCATCGCTCATTACACTATATGTACACATCCGAACTTACATCTGATTATGCTTTATCAATTTAAAACTCACGTTTGCAAACACAGCACTAAATATGGAATGAATTATACACTTACGACGTACATATTAAATGTGTCTTAAACTACTTTTCATCAAAAGCTGTCACAAAACTTTCATAAACAGAAAGCACTACACACAATAAAATAAGTTATTAAGTTTCGTACCAATCTTTGACATCCTTTCTATACGGATTACCCTACATAAAAATTTACTTGAACAGACAATTAAAGCAACGCAAAATGTTTCTTACCGAATGAGTGTGGGGTATTTTTCTTTTCGGCATATTAATTAGTCAGATACACAGTATGCCCATTTGTTATGCATCTACAGCAAGTAATTTCTCGACCACGTGCCCAAAAAATAGTTTTTATATGTAATTTAGTCTTAAAGCTATTATAGTCAAGACACTAACTAAATAAATGTGATTGTAATATGACGTTTCGATTTTTTGTATTACTGTGTAAGATATAGCCTAATACTGAACAATAATACACATCGTAAACTTTTAAATAAAAGTGGAAATTAATTCAAAGTAAAACAGTTAACTGCTTTCACATTATTGCAAATAATTATTATGCGACTTTATGATACATGGCAGTATTCGATCTATTTTTCAGTGTCCCTCAAGTTTTCAGGAATGTACAAGTGTAAATAAATGTCCCACTGCGTTAACGTGCAAACGTTATGCCTAACACTGCGCAAAGCCACAACGCTATGTCAGCCCGGAGAGTTCAGCCAACTAAATAGATGGTTACGAGCTTTGCGGCAGGGGTTTCGATTCCCGACAGCGACAGCAATTCTTCTCTTCGACACCAGGTTTAGACTGGCGCTAGGGGAGAGCAGTCGGCTGATTAATTTGATCGAAAACGTTGTTCAACCTTCGTAGGGCTTTACAGCTCTAGGACCCTTAAACTCCTACATAACGCGGCACTCCCATAAGGACAACATTGCCTGTAATATTTATCATAATATAGCTCAGCCCGGACACAGCGCCAATCTATATATCTACACCCTCACATTACGCCCATAAGCACCTTTTTAAAATCAAAGGGAATCCCCCAGTTAAGCGCCACCTTCGCTAGCCGCCACTCGGCAACATAGATGGTAAAACGTTCGTACTGTTATACATTATAATCAAATCCGATACAGTGCCACGTAATTTTGTTTCCATCAGCTATTGAAACAACTCCCTGGAATATTCAACTGTAAAAATACTTTACACTAATAATTCTGCGTTATAAAATAAAACCTGTTAAGGTAAAAAAAACTACAGACACGGGGAGGGAGAAAGTGAATTGTTACTGTGAATTAGCGGAGTAAATGGCGAGAAATCCGACCTGCTACTGGGAGAAAACTGGAATGTTACCCAGAATAAGCTGTGATCAGTAACAGGGAATATTCAAATAATTGTTGTAGAACAGTCACATCGCCAGCCCATTGCATTTCTGTCTGGCAGGGCAGAGAACTCTCCCATAACTATTTCCTTCACACTATGAGTAGGTCTCGCATAGCTAAACTGACAAGCATAAAAAGGAAGGTACTTCATTGTTTAGACCCTTTTCCACTTCACGACAAGCATAGGATTATGGTCCTTATACCAGCATCATACTGTGAACGCAACAAAATACATTTACGTGTGTTGGCATCCACGCGGTACACATATTACAATTACTTTGTCCATCGTCTAAATTATAAACGTTTCGGAAGCTCTATTCTGATTCTATCTTCAGGTAAATAAAGGTGGGAAGATGGCAGAAAACCCATCTGTAGAGCCCCCTGTCTGGGCTATCCTCAGATAGGCGCAAAAATTCCATTTCGAAACTTCCGTTACAAGCCTGTTCCAAGCCTTTGCACTTTCTCTTATAAGAGATTTCATCTGCATTCATCTGCGAAACGCGCAAGATGTTCACTGCACCAGTGCAAATATTAGCAGTGTTCTTAGACACCGTCCACTCTTATTACATCAGACTGCAATCCTCTTATATCAGCGGCGTGAACATGAAACAGTGAATACACAGCATAAAGGGAATTTGTAAAACGCAAGTTAATCTGATTTCGTGGTGCAGAGCTCTTCGTTGAAAGAGCGAGAGCATTATTAATGGGTCCTACACTCCTCCCCTGCCAAATTCACTGTTACATATGAGTCCACGGGATTTCCAATTCAATAGAACACCATGACGGTACATTACGTTAGTTTGTGCAAGAGCGAATTTAGTATAATTGACCTCCTGCTGATAACTCTTTATAGGCAAAGTGTGATGCACGACAGTCATTACCAAACATGTTTTAGTAAACCCAAGGCTCCTCAAATGGCGGTATCTTTAAGATTCGTTTATTTATCATAAGGAATAGGAATTGCATCTAATTTATGTATCCTGTTGTGGATACTTGCAAGTAATAACAAACAACGAAACTGTATCAATGTCACAAGAATATTTGCAAATTTATTGATAGTTGTGATGTAAAAATAAGCTACGTGTTTTGGTCGCAATGAAACATCTTCAAGCTCTGTGAATAAACTGGTTAACACTGCTGGGTGCAATGTTTTCCTCGAGGCAGAGACCGAATTTATAAATATTTTTCACACAACGCTTCGCCAAATAAATTGTTAATATAGCTCATCATCACAGAATGCAGACACACATTTCTGCAGTAACCCTTAAGAGGATCTGCAGCGAACAAGGGTTCTGCGGTTCCCCGTCTGGAAACCAATGTTACGTCTGTAATCCATGGTGGTTATTCGCCTACTTGAATTAAAACCAGTCTGTTACTGTCATCAATTTAGAAGTACATTATTAAAACTACACGTCATATAAACCACTCCAGTTTCTACGACACCTTTAAAATTTATCTACTTAAAATAGGGTCGTTTAGGGTTCTCGAAAGCCGAAAGTAGTCCCATCTGTTGGTACAAAGAGGCAAATAATCCGGGGCATCTGTCACCAGTCTTTTTAGATGTAATCCAATAGTTGAAGCAAAGGTAGAGGCGGACTAAAGAGAAGATGAAATGAACTACTTCTCCGTGTTGTAATAGGGATTACCTCAATAAATTCCACATTCAGAACTCGAGTTTCAAACAAATTATATAATAGACGGAGGCAGAAACTTACATCTTATAAAACAGATTATTTATATTTGGTGTTGGCACTGAGAGCATTGGTATTTAGTCCACTCCTATACACTTTGCCTCAGTAACCATCCAAAAACGATATCGAAATGACAATAACAGTATCATAGCTACATCATCTCCAGATTGTTTTAAAGAGATAAATAAAAAAATTCTTAAACTGTTTTGCGTGTTCACATTTAAATTGCCAAGAACACAAATCTTCCCTCTTAAATATAGCCTTTTTTGCAATTAGAACGCTAGAAAAAATAAAACCTTCCCAAAAATTAAACATTCCTAAATGGTTTTGTCTTAAGTAATTAAGTTTCATCCAGCCTCTAGGGTGATATAATAAATAATGCACCAGACACGCCTTTAAAACATTATACATAGCCCAGAAGTAGTTTTTCCCTTTTTGCTACAACGGATATGAATTAATACTTGCATCATATCCAGTACCAGTTATCGATAACGTATTTAAATTAATTAAATTCGATTAATATTCTCTTATTTGAACACAATTCCTTTATCCATATCCCCTTGTAGCTGCCTTCAGTTGTTCTTTGTGTACGAGATTTGAACCTAGCCAGAGCATGCTCTGTTCCTGACATAATATTTCAAATTTTATTTTCGTGTATTACGATGTCTGAAATGTGTTTAAAGTCTTCAATACGTGATCCTAGCTAAAGGTAACTAATTTATACAGACATATTTTGGCGTTTGTAATATGTATTATGACTCCTTAAAG